GCGTAGGGAGAAATGAAAAGTAAAAAGTAAAAAGTAAAAATTATAGAGCTTCAACATCTCTCTTTGCACGGAGCCTCCAAAATATTAAACCCTAAACCCTTATTTCACTATTTTCTCCTTGTATTTTCCCTATATTTCTAACCAAAAAGTAAAAAGTAAAAATTAAAACAGAAATGTTTTTTTTTTTTTAAAAGCACATGATAAGTTTAAATACCAAAGCAATATATTGAATAAATCATACCACAAACACTTTCAATCTCCCACTTCCGAATTTCTACTTTTTTCTATTCCAACTTCTACAACTTCCATTTTAACTTCTCTACGGTGTTTTCTAGTTACTATTTTGCATAGACATGTTACATGTGGGAAAAATTTATATACATATAAACAAGAACCAGCTGTCAATATTTCATCTCATAATCACATAGATGATGACCACTGTGTTTATATCAATAAGTCAAAAGACGAGCCTATCTCTTTGAAGGGAATATGAACCATATATAAATTTACCCAAGCAAATTTCTAAATTGTACCTTCAATAGCTTAATTACCAATCTAGCCGACATTATACAAGTGGCTCAGTTAAAACTTAAAAAGAAATTCATCATTTGTTTTGGGCATAGATGGAAGTGTTTGCCCAAAAAGTTATACGTACTCGTTGCCCGAAAAGTTATACGGGTGCATATAACGTCGTTCTCACAACAATTTCTGTATGTTTATCATGTGATAGCCTAGTACGAGAGAAAAAAGTTATACGTACTCGCTGTATTTATAGTTTTTTTTTTCCTAGTTGGGTGGATAAAAAATGACTTACACAATAGAAAACAGAGAGAAGATGAATGTCCCATCCAATCTTCCAAGCTGATAGGTTTCTTTCAATTGCAATGGCCAAAAATGATGATTGGATGCAGCTAAAGAAGCATTGCAGAGTGGTAAGCCTCAACTTTGCCGGATATTGCTTGACAATAGGACCCTAGAAAAGAAGCACTAGCTAGTTCAACAAGGGCAATAAAAAAAAAAATGTATATATAAATTCTACATAAGAAAATAAATTATTCCAACTTAATTAAACTGTTTAAAATAATAAATAAATAAAAAGTGCTAATGATTAATGATGTGCACCTGCAAAATTAGCCACAAAGACCAGGCAGTATTGGCTGAAATCATGAACAAGGAACCTTTTATCCAGTCCCCTCTGGAGGAAGATGATGAGTCTGAAATTTGTGTCTGATGATGTGATGGATACCAATTCGTGAACTTTATGGAAGGCCCCTTAACTAAAGCAAACACCAATGCCCCTGAAAGGCTTGTGAGAGAACCCAACACCTTGGCCACACCATACCAATGTTTCATAGAAATGCTTTCCATCCTGCCCAAAAATTTCAAAACCATTTGTGTTTCAAGGACATAAAAAGAAGAAGCACTTGGTCCATGTAATTAGCTAAATATCATAGTTAATTATTAATTAATTACCTTAACAAAACCGCCATGACAAAGGTAATTGCAGGAATTGTTGTGGTGGTGGCTGCAGCAAACGTTGCAGAGGTGTAGTTGATTGCAACATAGTAAAGATTTAAACTCAGGGTAATCCTGGAAAAATTATTATGTATGTTAGAGAGTTTAATTGAAATATTGTTGATGAGGAGAGAGAGTATAACCAAGTTCTTACCCAGATAAGGAAATGAAGAAAATCTTGCAGAGTAAGGTGTACGAAAGAGGAGCGTCTTTTGAACTGAAAATTCAGAAGACAAATTAAACCACCACTGAAAAGTCTAGAGAGATGTATGCTACAAATGGAAGCTTATGAACCAACCTTTCAAAGAAGAAAGCAAATGGAGCCAAGGCGAGGGAGGCAAAAACTTGACGATAAACCACAAACACAAAAGGGTTCATTCCCTTGGCCATTGCTGCCTTAGAGAACAAGGCCATACCTGCATACACAAATT